TACTTATTGACTAACATTTATCGAATGATACATAAATGCAAGTAATTTTCTTTACACTGGAAAAAATGATGTATTATATCAACAGCATTATTGTAACTGAAAATAATTTTGTTGATTCACTAATAGTATTATGAAAGAAATAATATTTTATTAAAACAACAGCTTGTTTCATTAATTCATTAAGCTACATTGACAAAATTATATTTAAAATTAAATAATGTTATTAACATCATTTCTTTTTTATTGTACGACTTATTTCTTTATTCACTCTTAGAATTTTTCTTCGGGTTTCGTTATCGAAATATTTATTTCTAGAATTATTTTAAGCATATTAAGCTCCGGAATTGCTTAATAAACATTTTTCAAAAAATTCTCAAAACTTTCCGAAGAAAAACTAAGAATTATTAAAGACATATAATAAAATACGTATTTTGAAATACGCTGTATACGCATGAAAAAGAATTAAAGTTCATCGTTCACGAATGACTTTTGCGGATCGTGCTTAAAAATTTGGAATTATACATTCACACGGGCACAAATTAGTGCCGTATCAGGTTAACAATCTGGGATCGGCATTAGACACTTTCCATATTACACGGTTTAATAAATATGTCCACACGTTTGTGAAGATATAAGTTCAATTCAGTATATGTATTTTATATAATTTATCACGCATATTATAAAGATGCACATAGAGAGGCAAGAAATATAAATGTGCAATACCACTCGTGAAGCGAATTGGCGATGTTGTAATCGAGAGATAATTTGCATAATTTATGCATCGTGTGCAATATTCGTCGTAATGCGAACTTTCGATACTCTGTAAAATATATAAAATATATTTCATTTAAGTTACAACAGAAAAAAGGCAGAAGAGTCGAGCGACGCGGATCGAAATACGTAAAATAAAATAGAGATTACAATCATCATGCATTATAATTTACACAAGAAGCGCTATGATAATTTATATAATATTAACTTTTACTAGGAAGACCGTTTTATGCATGCAAGAGTGTAAAATATACCTACTCGTTCAAGCACTTTAGAGTTTATATCTTTATGAAGTGAAATTTTGTTTCTTTTTCTCTCTTACTTTCTTGTGCGTACAAAGTAGTTGTAAGCCAGAGATCGAATGGCGTTTACCGCAAAATATGATGTAAATACGGAACGAAATAACAGAGGACGTGATAATAATTTACATATCGAACTGGATAATTCATGGCACGTATTACCGTCAATCAATTTTGCGGTCGATCAATAATATATCGCCGAACTTTCGAGAATCATTCCTCTGGTCTCGCCGCGGTTTAGGTGTTATTAAATGTAATATGACTAATGTCCTCGATTACGGCACAACGGTCATACACGGCAGGTAAGCAATGTAATGAGCGCGCGGTAGCGCCTGGAAAAAGGATAATTATCCACTTACGACGAAGCTTACTTTAGTTTAGCGTTATTAGCGTGATGCCGGCTAAGAGCGGCGGTACGTGAAATTATAACCTGTAGTAACTTAAGGTAAACCAAGAGACTTTATTTATCAACCGCGTTACTTCCTTGTTTGTGTGGTTTTTATTCTACATGAACTTTTACCCTGAAATGAGATTGAAAAATCATAACGTGAGTATTTCGATTAGGTTTAGCTTTATCGCACGCATAATACACATTCGTGTCTTAAATTTAAATAATATTGAACAAACTGTTGTGTGGCATTAATCGTGATATGAATATATATTGAGATGTTTATTCTGTCATATATTTATTACATATTATATTTAATTATATTTATATTTATAATAATATTTTATATACAAAAAGAATGCTTTTGTTGAAGTATCTAAAAATTTAATCACGTATACAGATCTCAAAATAATTATTGGCCTATCAAAATAATTACGTGGGAATTTCAGGCATAAAGAGTAATGCCGCAAAAAGTTTCGATATTTTAGTAGTCAGTAATCAATTTGAGTGTCCTACATAATTATTTTAATGGTCTAACAAAATTATTTTTAGTTCTGTATCTAACTATACTCTTCAATAAAACCATCTTTTTCATGTATTTTTATTATACACGATCGAAAAAATGATTTTGCTGAAAGATCTAAAATTTAACTGAGTATAGATCTGAAAGTAATTTTATTGGACCATCAAAATAAAATTTTGTTACAAGTTTAAACTGGAATATCAAAATTTTTTACAGCTCATCACTTTTTAGTTCCCAACATAATTATTTTGATAGTTTAATAAAATTATTTTTAGATTTGCAAAATTTAAATTTTTCAAAATTGTTCTTTCCATTATATACTTAAAAACTACAAAATTATATTTGGCAGCCAGTTACAATAATTTACATATCTATTTATATTTCGTGCGATGCCTCCACCCTGCTTTCGACCCGTAATCGTTTCGTATTATTTTAGCGACGTTCAAATTTTTTTCTTTCTTTACGTGCTTATATTTTCCGATAAGGAAAGAGAAACGTGCATAGTATATTATACTGTGAGGCTGTAAACGGTGATCAATTAGGAATTTTCGCAAAGAGAAAACCGGAAAAGCGGGGCTATAATACCGATACTGGATTTCGCCTTATGCCGAATGGACAATTAATTCCTCGCGCGCGCGGCATCAACGTGCAAAATTGATAGCCGGCACCTGACATACCAGCCAGGTCGGTACTTCGTAACTGCCCATTACGAAGTTTATTACGGTTTCCCCGAGTACAACGACGGCTCTTACCATGAAAACGCGAAGGCGCACGTGGTAAATACGTGTCCGCGAATTACGCGGAGAAGGGACCTGTTAAAATGGAAGATGCTGCTCTCGCATTCCCGTTAGATATAAATAACTCTGATCTCAGCTGCGCGCGCGGAGAAGGCCCTTATCGGAAAGCTACGAAAAAAATTGCCAATGAATTTATTAAAGAATCGTCCGAAGATATTTTCGCACGCGGCTTACGTTGCGCGAACTATATACGAATCAGGATGTTGAAAATTTATTTTGTTTCATCGTGTGCGAATGAAATCAATTTTACATATGTACATGTCAATTGTAATTGCCTTTTTTTCAAATTCAAGTTTTATTCTTTGACGATTATATGTTTATCTTAATCTAACAACGGTTGAAGGTCGTTAAAAGAAAATGAACCTTTTGCGTCGACGAGTCACATGCGTCGAGCGTTCAATCTTCGCGTCGTACAATCACATCCTGTAGAAATTCGCGTGTAAGTATCTTGAAAAAGAGAGCTTGACTTCCTGTCGCCCGTGCGTCGTGGCGCAACGATTAATCACCGTCGACGGCAATACGTCGCTTTATCAGCCGATTACTTTTCCCTTGCGTCATTAAAATCGGAAACAATCTGCGTAATATAATTGTAAAGCTGGCTTTTCTCGCGCGGAACGTTCGCAGCGTTATTTATAATCGATCGCGATGCCGAACCGTCGAAGGAATCTGCTTATCGCCAGACCGACACGATATATTATCATCGATAGCTGGATACCTATAACCACCGCCAAATGGATTACGCTTAGATTTACGTCGATGTGATTGAACGGCGTGGAACTATAATATGTGCACAACGCTACGTTGAATCGACGTGCACGTAAACATTTATAAACGCGAGAAATTAGCACGATTTACGCGAAATAAAACGCCTCAATGAGACGTGACGTCTTCGAGTTAATTTGCGGTATCAAGCAAGTGCGAGTCATTTTAATTAACGTGATTTTCGCAGAATTTTATGCCTCTCGTGCCATATATACTTTCAAGTGTTTTGACACAACTGCTTGATAAGATCTCATTTCCGCGCTGCACAATAAAAATTGTCCGATGATATCTTGAGATTTATTTAAGAGTGAAAACAAGAATTTAAACTGGATTAATTAAAGTAGATAAAACGTTTATATACAGTATATCACATCATTATTGAGATATCGCAGTTTTTATTTAAACTCTTTAATATAACTTTATATATTATGTATTCAATTCTCGCGACAGGAAATTCAAACAGGACGGGCATCGTTTCAATTCATTTCCATTTACCATTTTCAGCTTCAATTTTCGATTAAAATCTTAATCAAAGGCACTCCCTTTCTTCATTACTCCGTTAATAAAGTTGTCGAATAAGCGATAAATAATCGCGTGTCACGAAAGCGATTTTTCATTAACGTCCACACATATATGTAAATGCGAGAATTTTCTTGCGAGAAGGGGTCGAAAAGAACTTCGCAGGTTCGGAGTAGCAAGTAGGATGCGGCGCGGCATAAAAGCGTACAGAGATAGGTATTAATCGGTGCCTGTGGCTTGTACATGCGTAATTTAGAATCGAGTTATCGCAATATGTCGGCTCCTTCGAACAAAATTAATAACGATTTGCGGTAATGGGCGGCCCTCTCGTAAATTACGAATCGACGAACGGAGTCTCGTTTTTAATTTCGCTCGCCGCGCGAAGCGGCGAAAGTATCGCCGCGTCCGTCGCGTCACGTCGCGTCGGTGCGCAAGAAAAACATCGTCGCCGCGAAACGGGGAATGAACGGCGAAATATAACTGTAATTGAACGGCTCTTAAATATTCATCGAGCGCGGTTCATTCACGGTAACTCCGCGTTTGCCGCGTTTGCTATTTTAGTGACTTCTGAACGGGTAAAAACGAGCGTCATTGATACTGCAGTGATAAATGCCGGTCCTTAAGCTCGACTGCCTCCACTTGCAGCGAGGTTTTTATTACGCTTCAGCGATCCTCGATTTTTATATCGGATCGTACCGGAAGCGGTTTCCCTCTCGCGGTCGTTTCCGGTTGTGTACAGCGGCACGCTGATGGCGAATAAAAACCGCGCGGCTACACGAGGTGGATAATAATTCATAGTAATGACGCGGCGACGAGTACGTTCTGGAGAGGATAATTCGGTATTACATAGCATTACAGAGAGCTTATAGATATATACATTAAATTTTTTGTGTAGCGTATATTAATACTTATATCGAACATTGCGAAAACATGGATTGCAGAAAGGGAAGCCAGCGGTTCTGGGGTCGCTCGCGGTGCCCCGCCGGTCTCGGAGACGATCAATCCGGAGGACGAGCCGGAAACGGACGATACCGGAAGCACGAGTGGAAACGGCGTTTCGCCAGTGGTGAATCCTCTGCTCCAAGAACGATCGAATTGCGAGGAGCTGAGGCACGTGGTGTGTCACCTCGAAACCAAGGATCTCTGGGATAAATTCAATGAGCTCGGCACGGAGATGATCATCACAAAGACTGGCAGGTAAGGTCAAAGTACTTTAAGTTATCGATTTCCGCTGCCTGGAAGGATGATCGCTATCTGGATTGTAATGCTGATTTATTTGTCGGTATCAAAGATAACTGCCGTAGGCATTCCAGATGGACATCGATAAGTTTTAATCACGCAATTGTCGGATATCCAAGTTCAACGACATCGTGCAATTAGTAATTACTATAATTGAATCTTTTTTTTTTAAATTATATCTTGGTTAACTTTGAAATCTATTTTATTTTCAGTGTTTGATGAATATATATTATAATACATAATTCTTTACTGTGTAACATGATTCCGTAGTACATACATATCGCGCGCAATCTGCAGTTATCTCCACCAGCGCCAGAGTTGATATAAATGAACGACAAATGTAAATTACGTGTAACGAATACTTGGAAGCCTGAGATATGATTATTTTATTGTACATACATTGATGCTGAGATGGAAAGACTGTAGTATTGTGCGTATTTCACAACGATTAATCGATGGATCGCAGTCAGAAACAATTCTAGGCTCGTTTCTCGAGGGGAATATGTATAAAAAGAAGAGGGGAGGATAAACGCGATTCCCGAGGCAACCAGATGCTCCAGGGAAGTATTCCCTCGGGACGATGTACCGCTAATGCATCGCAGGCTAAATTTCTCTCCTGGACAACGCCGGAGCGATTGACTCTTTCTCATTACTCGCGGCCGCTCACCCCTTCGGCCCTCGTCCCGAAACCGCCGTCGGCCCCGGGGCGATGTCGCTGCAAACTCAATCACGTCCTGCCACGGGTCACGACGCGACACCCACGAAAATTCCCGAGGGGAACCCGGCGATAGAAACAGGCTAGGGTTAGGGCGAGAGGTGTCGTTACCCTGAGCAAGCTGTCACTCGCCTGACACGTTACATCGAAACATAAGCAAACGTCCTAATCGCATTGAAATTACGATCCTTTAATCGCGGGAATTAGGTGGGGGAAACGGGGAAAGAACGATATTATTCGGGGAACAATCAGCAGTCTAAAAGTTTGAGATTAATCCTTAATAATACGTGATGCAGACATTGTAACTTGTAACTTTTAATGAAATATAAATAATAATAATTTTATTGATGAGAGCATTTATATAAATTATAGCAGAAAAAGAATAAGAGACATAAAAGTTGCACAAACAATAGGCGAAGTATCAGCGATAATGTTATCTTGAAACTCAAATTTGAGTAAAAAGTACACAGTTGGAAAATTTGTACTAAATTTAACTTCTATTGCGTGTTCCAAATGATTTACCTAAATTTTTACGTTCATTTAACATGAATACGTTAGGAAGTAACGCAAATATTATATAAAAATTTAACATGAAAAATGCAGCACTGACACAATTTGTAAGCAAATTATGGAATCATTTTTTCAGTAAAATTTATATATTATAAATTAATTTATATATTAACTTAACATACATTTCAGCAAAATTAACATTTATATTAAATTAACACATTTTGTTCATTTGTTATAGAATTTATGTTTTAAAATACATTTTTTATTCATTCATTTATAAATTGTATTATTTTAACACTAAAAAATGTTAAATTATAATTTAACACAAAAAAATATCCAGATAACATAATCTCATTAAATTAACACTTGGATATATGAAAAATTTAATAAAAACATTTTAACAAGGATCTATTTTTACACAAATACAAAATATTTACCATATAATAAATATATATTTACCATATAATAATAAAACATGAAATAAGTTTAAAGAACTCAGAGATTTTATCAATGTTTTTTTTTGCGAAAGATAAAATTTTTTAAACTGTAAATTTTTTGTCGCATATAATAAAGTCTTTGTCTTATCGATTTTTATTTATAAAAAAAAATTTATTTGAGAAAGAGAAAATTGGCGAGAATATTAGTGAGATCGATGCAACTATCTTGCGGTAAGCCGATGTTATTTAACAAGTAGCTGGAGATCGTGAATAAAAAAGTTACAGACGTGGTATGGATCACGAACTCGGAAACGGTAGGAAAGAAAATAATAAAAACTTAAACATGAAACTTCTCAATTGGTTCAGGAATATAAAAACGCAGTAAGTGATCGGCTAGGTGAAATGTAAGTTTAACATACGTGTACACGTGCAACATTTCCGTTCGCTTGCCTCTTTGTGAGTAAACAAATTCAATTGCGAATAATAAGAAAATAACATAATGCAATACATCGTACAAATAAAAGGATAAGAACGGCACGCACAAATATACTCCAGTAATATAAAACTGTGAAAGAGTTAAGACTACCTGAGCGCAGGGGGTATAGACGGAAAGGCGACGGGCTCGGGAAGAGGGGAGGTAGGAGAAATAAAAAGCGGAGAACGAGCTGGTGGCAAGCTGGCGGGTTAAATTGCTATATTGACCGTCAGTCAATTAGTCGGGCCGGTGTAGAAACCGGGCGAGCTTATGCCAGTTTATAAGGGTCCTTGGGACGAGCGGTGGCGACCAGAGGCGTGAGGATTCGAGTGGGATCACACTGTGAGGGGAGAAGTCCAGGGAGGGATCTCTCGGGGGCTGCCTATTCGCGGAAGGCAGTCGAGAAGTTTTATGTTCGCGGTTTGTCTCGAGGCTTCGCGATATACCACCTTCTCAAACATATATCTTCGACTTAACGACGGAAATGCTAACATTGGACACGAAGTTAACTATCGACGTAGAATAGTCCTTTGTATCGATGTGACGTCCTACGGGGCGAATTCATCGTATAGAATAAGAAATGCATTTTTGACATAATTACGATAGGCATTATTTAAGAAGAAAAGTAGAACTATAAAATCCTATTTATTGATCGATTATCATGAAAGAATTTTACAGACTTTCCTTTATATGTACAGTACAAAATTAACTAGTTAAAAGAGTCCTTGATAAAATTTTTGTATTAAATTTTTAGCACATCCGAATGTTAATTTAATACAATGTGATTATGTTTCTGAATATATTATGAGTAAGTAAACAAATAATATAAAGTATCTAGTTTTACTTTACTTAAAACGTAAATTCTAAAATAAATGAATAAAAGATAAATATGCGTGTTAATTTAAGAGTGTTAACTTTTATGTTTGTGTTTATTCTAATTTTTATGTTAATTTAATATTATTCATTTAATATTAAATTAACATAAAAATTTTGATTTAACGCATTTTGAGAACGTAACATATGTGTTAAATTTAATACAAATTTTTCTAACTGTGCAGTTTATCGCCAAAATTCTTTTTTATGTATTTGTTAAATATTTTTTTCGTGGATAAAACAAAGTATTTAGTCTTCATAGGGAGGATTAAGATCGTCAGCCCCGGGCCACGATCTAACAAGAAGGGGTGCGAGGATGGTCGCACAGAAAAACACTGACGAGATCCTCAAGGACCCGGGAAACTTTCCGGAAGAGAAAGGAGGCGGAAAAGATGGGAGGGACGACGCGGCCGACGCGCGCCTAATTGCCCGCCACGACTGGCAACATCCCTTCTCTTTATTCGTCGTAGGTTTCCCCCCTTCTACGGGGATCGCCGTTCCTCCAGTCGGGTGCGCGCCTACTCGTGCGTCGGTAATTAGATCTGCGTCTTAGCGACATTGGTCGACGCTCCCTTCAGCCGTCAACTTACCGCCCTTTTATCGTCCCTTAGACTTTCCGCTAGGCAGCCCTGAAACTACCCCCGACTTCTTCTCTTTCTTCCTATTACGCTTCTTGTCTTTAGAGAATTTCAGAGCAGAGTTCAATTTTCTTGCTTACGCTCTGCTCATGGATTTTTTTAACTTGGTAGCTTTATGCAATTTCTGTTGCAAAATGCGAAACAGTAAAATATTGATCGTGCAAAACAGTAAATGTATATTAATAGAATATGTAAAGGATTATCTCTATATTTCTTATTTTTACGGATTTCTGTGTTTCCGACGTTCAGGCTGAGTTTTCAGACGCATCTTTAAGGCCACCATCCTCGTAGCGAGATGGGAATTTGGTGGATAATCCGATGGGAAAAAAGTCGCAGGCATTCTCAGAGTTTGTGCCCGCGGTCTCGAGAAAAATGGTCGCGCGAAAGGGGAAAGGGGAGGGTTGAAAATCAGGCACAAATGAGGAAGAAGGGGCAGGAGGGTGGAGTGGCGCGAGGGTAAGGACCCACCTTCTCCCTCGTTCAATTCATTAACAAAAGACGACTTGATAAATAAAAGCATTACTCACACTCGTGGCACTGGCGGGATGAATGCATACCGAGTCGACAAGGACCGAGGAGAAGACGTAGATAAGATCGGCGGGTGTCCCCGCGTTTTAGTGGTCGAGCAGCGGGGGGCCCGACACGGTATTAATGTTTGGCCTCCGAGGCAAAACATTCACGCCAGGTCCCCTGCCCCCGCGGTCCCCTTTCCACTAATCCTCAGTCCGGGGCCCATCTCCCTCTCGCCCCCTGTCGGCCCCCTTTCTTCGCTTATTCTCTTCTTGCCCCTTCGATCGTGAGCAGGTCAACCCTAAAATTATCGCGAATCATCCTGGAGCATTGATTGACAAAATGCGACACTTTCCTTTTATCAAAAATATATATATCTAAAGAGATTTCTAGTTCTGTCGTTAACAGGAGACGAAGAATTAATTAATCAAGTCTCAGTTAATTTTACCTAACAGTTATAAACGCTATTCTAGGAACTGTTTTATATAACGAAATTGTCAGAAGACAGTTTATGGATTCTGTATCGAATCGGGAATTAATTATTAACAATTTAAAGATTTGTGCACAGTTGGAAAATTTAGCAGTGTTAAGTTTAACATATCATATATTTCATGTGTGTGTCCCAAATAGTCTACCAAAATGTTCGTGTTGATTTAATAAGATGAATATGTTAGAGGGGAAATAACACATAAATATTATGTAAAAAATTAACATAAATAATGTAAACATGGCCAATTTCTGTACAAATTGCGAAAGTGTATTTTTTTCAGTAAAATTAACATTTATAACAAATTTAATATTTTTAATATGACTTTTAATAAGTTATGACCAGAAATAAAAAATAACATTTATGTCAGAAATTTAATAGGAAAAAATCATCGATAAAAAATTGATTTTTATTTACATATAAGATAGTAATCATTAAATTCTTAAAAATTTATTTTAAAAAATGCAATGATTTAAAGAAATCAATTTTTTATGCGTTCTGATTACTGCTTAACCGTTAACGACTAATTTTTTTGTTATCAATAACCGTTATAAATGGCAATAATTGGTTTTGGTTATTTGTAAACAATAATAATTTCTACCATCGATAATGATTATTTGCAACCAAAAACAATTTCCGTCATTTTATAATTGTTATTTGCAACTAAAAACAATTTTCGCTATCTATAACAGTTATCAGAGTAACAAAAAAATTTAGTTGTTTATAATTATTAAATAGTAACCAAAGTCATTTTAAGAAAAATATAATGATTATACTATAACTTTTTCTTATTTTGGTTATAACAGTTATGGTTTCTGATTATGACATTTATAATGTATAAAAAATTAATATATTTTGTTCATTTATCTTAAATTTTACGTTTGAAAATATGTTATTTATTTAATTATTCATAACTGTGTTATTTTAATATTAAATATTTTAATATTGAATATCAACTTAACACAAAATATTCAAATAACACAATCATATTATGTTAAATTAATAATCAAATATATTAAAAATTTAACCCGAAAATTTTTTAACAAGGACCTATTTTAACACAAATAGAAAATGTGTTTTTTTACTGCATAACTTTGATTTCTGTACTTGCGAAAATCAAATTGCTATTAATTCAAACAACAATTGCTAGTAGTTGGAAAATTTTTTTAAATTAAATGTTAGATATAATTTATGAATTCTATACAGATTACTTCGTTGACCGAAGATACGTTTTTGTTTGCTCAGACGGATGTTTCCAACGTGTCGTGTCTCATTCAACGGGTTGAAGGCAGACAGTCGATACTCGGTCCTGATGGACATTGTACCGGTCGACAATAAAAGGTATCGGTACGCATATCACAGGAGCTGCTGGTTGGTGGCCGGAAAGGCGGATCCGCCGGCGCCAGCACGACTCTACGTTCATCCGGATTCACCTTTCACGGGCGAGCAGCTCCGAAAGCAGGTCGTTTCCTTCGAGAAAGTCAAGCTCACTAACAACGATATGGACAGGCATGGGCACGTAAGTATCTTTAGAAAAATTTTACCATCCCCCGTCCTGTCTCATTAAGCTCAATCGCTGAACTGCGAGTTTGCGCAGATTGGCACAATAATTGAATTGCTATGATAATTTCTGTCAATTTTCGAAAGATATTGAATAAGTAAAGACTAAGGAAGAACGACGGAAAGCGTATTAGTTTCGTGTCGCTAATTGAATTAGATTTTCAAACTCAATGAAGCTGTGAATAAAAACTTAGCAATTCAGCGCTGATCATTTTGTACGAATTATCTTTGTACTTCCGGCGTTTCTACATCAGCTCGCTATAAAAAGCAAAATCCGACGAGGTGCAGATTCCAATTCGTGCTGCGACGGATGTGTTAAGTTTCTTATTGGATTAATTAATTAATAAGCCTCGTTCGACCGTCTATTTCTCGTACAGAGGCATCCGGTTAATTCCTCGTGACACTTGTCAGACCATTGCGAAAATCGACCTTTATTATTAAGTTCTCACAACTGCAAGATGAATAACTTGATTGCGCGTTTACGTAGTAACGTGCATTGATTTTCCGAATGTAAAATGCCGTGCCATCGTTCTGAATGATCCGCGAACCGGTGACAAGTAAAATGTAATAAAACTTACTTCTTCCTTACTTCTAGATTTAAATGTTAGGAAGTATTTATTAATATTAGAAATAATAGAAACAGATTGATTATATTCTTATGTGAAAAAAGAAAGGCACAATTATAATTATTTTATAACATTTTATTTATTATCTTTGTAATATTTTTTTCGAAATTATTTAAAAACGTGCTGATTTAAATACCTATAAATTCAATTTGTGAGACACGATATTTGACATATCGATATCTTGTAAAATTATGAAAAAGTTCTGGTAAATAATTATGATTATGATTAAATCTCATACTATAATTATTGTAAAAACAAAATTTTTCTTTAAAATTAACTTCTTTGTATAATTAAAAATTTTTTTTAATTTCTGTAGCTCGAGAAATAAGATTCTACAAGAATTAAATTAAAAAAAGAAATAGTATCTTTTTGCACATTTTGTTTAGCTAATTTTAATTGCCATGTAATGTGAGTACTCTATTGAACTGTCGACATTTTCTGACGGACAAGGAATTTTCCACGTTTTTTCTCGCGATGGGGACGGGCAAACGTAGCTGTCTCGAGACAACTCGCGCATTAAACTTTTACACGTTACTCGGAGCAGCTGCGGCTAAAAGTACGACATTGTCGGCGTCGAAGACAGCGAGTGCACGCCTACCGCGTCCTCCGGTTGTTGCATTAATAAATCGACCGGCATCGATTGTTAGGTTCAACAAAGTTCACCAAAGTGGAACGCAACACGGCGGCATTTCGCCTCGTCGCTTAAAGCTTTTACACCACATTTACCTTATCTCTCACGTTTTACATTGTTTCGAAATACATTTCTCTCTGGATATAATTTTCTTTTTCTGTAACTACACATATTAGTGTAACACGACTAGTTTTACATAAAAAAGTTTACAACTGCTAAAGTTCAACAGTGATGACATTGCCAAGCGCTTATGAGAATTTTGAAAGGCGTGAAGTTATACGAAAATGAAGTGATGACATACGGGTGATTTCTCAACGTATATAAAGATTGCATTCGCATTTAGAAAGAATATCATTGTGTCTATAAAGAGAAAAAGAGAGAGTGAGAGAAAATTAATTGAGTCAATTCCTCACGTTGCTTTGAAATCAAAAAGTCATCAAGGATGTCATCACCGCAAATTCAAGCAACCTCGCGACCCACCACACGTCTCGTTTACAAAAAGGATAAAAATGACGCCGATAAAACGTATTTCATCGTAGCGCGATTTAGTCGCTCCACGGGATAATTTGACAGTCCGTTGTCTCGTTTGTCATAAGACACGGGAATCTCAGCCGCGTCTTCGCCCACCTCGCTCTTCTTTCAATTCCCCCCACCCCCCCCTCCCCCCCTTTTCCTCCGTCTCATTGTCAGCCCGAGCTCCTCTTTCTCGCCGGCGCATCGGGGCCCTTAATTCATCGGATGACTGACGTAAATAGGAACTCTGATCGGGGCAGCGCTTCTTCACGGTACTCATTTTGTATTCAGGGTATTACACGCTGCCAGACGCGAGCAAAGTGATTCTTTTGAACGGTAACGGGGAGCGCGCCCGGCCTGAGATGCTCCTAATTCATACGCTTTTTCTTCCCGCACGGCCGATCCTCGCCGTTGTTATTAATGCTATCGCATGCCCTCGGCTTCGTCGCCGATTCAAATCCTGGAACGACCAAAGTCAACGCAACGTGAAACTCGATGTAATCTCGCGTCTTCGTCACCGGGAAAAGATGAGCCGTCAGCGATTTGAGAATACCTAATGGTATACCCTTCGAAATAAGGGCTGGATGAAAATGCGAAGCATAAAGAAACGCGTGAAACTGTTCGACGATATCCACATCGTCCGAGTCGAATCGTTCGGTTAGTTCGTTACGGCTTTAATTGGACGAAATCGGACACCTGCGATTTTTGCGTCGAGAGATCTCCCGATTACACAATGTTATTTTTATTCGTCTTCTTGATTTATAACGTGACCTAAGAAGGAATAGTCCTTTAAATTTTGCGTCGCGAAAACGATAATTTTTAAATAATGGTAAAAGCGTAGCGTGTCGAAAATTCAAAAGCATCATAAATGGTTGATATATTTATACTTTATAGCATAACTATGCTCTTAACGTACGAGATTAGATATACACTACTAAATTCCTAATGTTTATATTTTAATTTAGGGTCCGTTATTTTTAATAATTTCTATAGGCGTCACTATTTCTACTAAACGTTGTTAATTTAACTAAAATAATAATGTTGAACAATTTACCTTAAGAAATTTATTCATTCCACTTAAATTTAATTTACGACTTACGTTAATATGAACGTTGTTTACTTTGAAAATAAATAATTCTCCATAGAAATGGGTTGATTAGCTATGATTGTTTTTTTAACTACATGTTCGCATTAAAATAATACACTTTGATGCACTTGGAAGTTAACAATAACAAAATTTAATCTAAAGAATTTGTTTAAATTTCATTTTTTAAATATTTAACAACCTAAGAGCGTTTTCAATTATACAAGTATTATAACTTAAAGTTCATCCGAGGAAAGTTTATTTGGAAACTCAAGCATTTATTTACAAACGTTTGATTTCGTTGATTTCAAAGCAATGTAAGAAATCGAGTCGATTATTTCTCTTTTTTTGTTAGATGCTGTTTAAAGGAGATAATCCAATCATTTCATTAAAATAATATTTTGTTATTTTAACTTCCATTGTATCAAAATGTAAATCAATCCACTTCTGTAGAATTGCTTAATTTCAAAGTATAATAAACAATTTCATATTACATATGCACTTAATAAATAATATTTAAATTGGAGTTATTTTTAATACACTTCTTAAGTTAAATTGTTTATCTCCTTTGTTTTAGTAAGTAACAATGTATTGAGTGGAAGCAGGTGGAATTTTTATAGAAATGATTTTAAAAATAACTCAAATTGAATATAATTTGACATCATGAATTTAACAGTGTGTCTCTCTGTAGACATAATGATATTCCTTTTAGATGCAAATACAATCTCCATACATTATAAAATCACTCGTACATCATTATACTTCATCTTCTTGTGTAATTTTACAACATTCATTGTGTGTCGAGTCTATAGTCAGTTTGCGGTTAATTTGCAGCTGGTCCTGAACTCCATGCACAAGTACCAGCCGAGGATCCACCTGGTGAAGCGGCCGGACTCGGGCTCGAAGCCGATCGTAGACCTCGAGAAGGAACCGCACAAGACCTTCGTATTCCCGGAGGCCATATTCACCGCTGTCACCGCCTATCAGAATCAGCTCGTAAGTTTCACTTTGTTTCTCGCTACCGTTGCGCACTCCTGCCTTTCTTTTTTACTCGTTCGCTCTCTTTCTCGCGCCCCGCACGCTCCGTCTTTCCTTAGCACGGCTGGGCCCGTAACGTCTGTCCGATCGTCCGGTCGCCTCCGGTCCTCCGCGTCTCACCACGTCTCGGCCGCACGGGACTGGTTCCTCCATTTCGCTTGCCGCGGCTCTCTTTCATCCTCGATAATCGTTTCTGTCGAGAACGAGCGACCGTGCGAAGACACTGGCGTAACACCTCGCGGATACGTCGACGTTAACGAGTGCCGTAGATATGCTACTCTCGCGTAACGAGAATGCCGTGGATATATGTTACTCGAGAGAACCGTTCATTTCTTTCTTATTTTATGTATTATATATTACACGGGGAATATTTTATATATAGTTTTTCTTATCTTTTTTTATAATCTACACTGAAAGAAATAATGTTGCAGCAACAACATTATTTTAATTGAAAATAATTTTGTTAATCCGATAACACTATTAATGACACAAATTGTCATGTTCTCGTTTTAATACAATTTTATTTTTTCTATTAACACTATTAATAAAATTATTTTCAATTAAAATAATGCAATTGATACATCATTTTTTTCAATGTACCTATACGTTATGTATTTAATGCTTTTTGTGATTTAATTTTTGTGTAATGATTTTCTATTTCAAAACTTATATAAGAAATATGTATTCTCCATTTTTATGACATATTGAATTCGAATCGATATAATTTTATTTTTTATGTAATAATATATATAAATAATATAGAACTGAATATACTATAGGTCGTAAGATATCATAATGTTCTTTGAGTCATTATGAATGAGTTGACATTATTAATCATTACAAAAGAACTAACTTAACTTCATAAAAAATTATCAAAAAGTCACAGTTTAAAAAAAATGGTTTTTCAAAGGTTATTAACCTGAAAAATTACAAAAATAATATCTGATCATAGAATATATATCTTTTTGCCAATAATACTCGATTAATCAACAACTTTTTGTCAAATTAAAAACAGTTTTTCAAATTTTTAAAGAAATTTAAAATTTTTCGAGTTTTAAAGTAAGGAGACGATATATATTCTTCGAGATTTATAAGTAGTAGATGACACAGAGTACGAGTTAGCAGACTGCAGATGTATATTAGGAACGCGATACTCCTCAAATAGGCTCATGATTGTTAAAGCGCATGCAACTACCAAAGGTACACTTGCAACAGTCGAAACGATCGTAAGAGAAACGCTGCGTGTGCCAGTGGTAGTCTCGACCTCTCGGCGAGCCGTCTTCCGTGTCCAAGTTCAGATTCTGTGTTCAGCGCACGAGAACGACGGGGCATTATCGTATTTCACGATAGTCGTTTAAAGCCGACCGCGGCGTCATGTGTGGTCCAGGTCAGCGTCGTTTGCATTCCATGAGCGTCGCGGCGCGTCCCGTTCCGCCGCCGCCATCGCCATCGCCATCGCCGCCGCGCCGTCGAGCAGGCTGAGTTTCATCGTCCCCTCTGTGCCGCAACAGCGGTTGGAATTTCAGACCTCGACGTAGGTAAGATCTATGATCCTCAGAGGCGACAACGGACAACTATCTGGCATCGTTTCCGATGCTTATCCCAGTCTCGTTTAATCGATCTCTTTTCTTGTTGCCGCGAGAAGCAGCACGGCGGTCGTGAATCCCCTTGAGGGATGACGTGCTTTTTTTTTTTTTTCAGAGGGAGAACGCACAGCTTGAGTTCGATTCGGGCGAAATTCTTCGCTATATAATTCTTGAGCAATTTGTAATGAACAATTATGAAGAATAATTCTATACATGTATGATACGATCTAATACTTGTTTCTGTTTCAAGAACAAAAATGTTAAAGAATATGCGCGCGCGTAAGAAGATTACATTTTTATTTTACGTAAATAATTTCTTTTATTCAAATTAATTATTTCGTGTGTGTAACATCTATTTGGAATTTCAAATATTATAGACTTTTTATTATCATTTCTTTATTTTCCTATTAAGGAAATATCAAAAATATCTTAGATGCTTTTAGGATGGAGATCATTTTAACATATACAAAATGTATATGACACTAAGCTCTAATTAGAATTACAAGAAACAGAGCAATGATCCGCCAAATCTAGCGTGACTTGACATAATTAAGTGTCTCGTGTAAGTATCGGGTATCCTTCGATCATTATCCGTGTTGTTCGACCATTGCGAAACGCTTTGCCTAGACTGTCGTTTTCGACGAAGCTTTTGACGAAGACAGCACGCTTCGTCTGCCGATGCAGACGAAAACCGACGACGGCGTCGGTGACTCTAACGGGTGGTCCCAGGAACCCTCGACGTCTACGACGACGACGACGAGAGCAACGCGGCTGTTGATGATGATGATGAGGTGCGAAGAGACGCCCCGGCAATTACCTCGGGCCAGTTTCTCTTCCACGGCGTCCTCTCTTTTGTGCCTCTCGCTTTCTGAGTCCTCTCGTCTCGTCATTATCGTTCTTTGCGGTTTCCTCGTCGCCTTCGAACTTCTTCCGTCCGCTCGTATGTCGCCGTTTCTTTTCTCTCTTTACTCCGCATCTTCCTGAACAGTCGAATGTCGTCGACCGATCGTCATCTTGATCGGTGAGGTTTCTGCAAGATTATAGCCAGCTCGTTCTTTCACTTCAATTCGTGCTGAGCGGAAGTATGTAACGGTCAGTGAGAAGTTTCATGCAACTTGCCATAACTATGTTGGCAGATTTGCCGGAGGTTTTCACATTTATATAAAGTTTTTCTTTCGTGTTAGCTTTCTCTGATTTCTTGTGCGTCAATCGCCGTTCTTTCTGATTCTTCATCTCATTACTAATTAGCACTAATCGGTTTTTGCTCCAAAATTTCTTTAACTGAGATTCGCAGGTTTATTATATATTTTTTAATGTACTTTATTTTAAATTAAAGTACCTTAAAAATTAATGTGATCGAATAATTGTTTATTATGATCAAAATCCGAGGAATAAGATTGTATAATTTAAAATTAAGTAAAGCTATGAAAAATACTTGTTATAAACAGTGTTTCACAACACGCAGTTGAAAATGTCTGGGTCCATTGGACCCACGAATACCGATTAGGGTTAGTAATCTGTATTGAAGAAATTGTAGAGAAAAGATAAAAGAATACAAAAGAAATTAGCGAGAAGTCCTTGAATTTTCTTTACACGTCTAGGACGAGCGTTCGCAAACATGGCGACGTGCGTGAAAATGTTGTCTCCATGGCTTTTCAACGAGTTCGAAAATAGACGGGTTAGAATGTAAAAGCGGGATAGAGGGAGAGCAAAGGAAGCAGCGAGCGATCATCGCGAACGTCGACGGTGGGCGCCGCGGTCAAACAAGAGCAAGGAGACGGAGAAGGACAGAGGTGCATCGTGGAATGCGCGTTAGTGACGTAGAAATGCAGTCGAGCGCGCGACGGCGGATGTTGCATGGTAGATGGATAGATAGATACGACTTGTTTAGAATGTGAGACAAGCCCCCCGAGATTCGGTGAAAAAGGAGGCTACAGTTGTTGACAAGATCGGAATCGGCGATATATTAAAAAGACCGCACCGGAGAGATAGTTGATGAGCTTACAGGGATATACGAACAGGGATATACTGAAATAGTTGCGGGCAATAAGATAAGGCAAGAATATTAATAACATTAATGGAATGCAGGTGGAAAGAATGAATGGTGCCAGCAATTCCAGCGCCAGCAAAATGGCCAATTTTTCTTTTCCCATTTCATTTACATTTGATTAACTCTCTGCAGTTGACGTCAAAATTTGTAACACAGATACTGACACTGGATCTGTGAGACCTATTTAATATATGTTGATTGAAAGGCACAATTAATTTTAAGGAACCAATGTGACAACTTGTATAAAAAAAGAATGAATACTAAGTTTATTATAATAAGAATAATTCAAATTTTTGCAGGTGTGACATAAAGAAAATTGAATTGTGTAACATTTTTATATTAAACTTTGCAATAATAGTTAACAAGAATTCAGAAAACTAATAGTAAATTAAAATATAATGGTAATTTTTTTATTTTGTAAACATTACAGAGAAAACTGAATTACTTTTAATCATGAAAATCTTTGTTATCCAAATAATCATAATAAATCCAATAGACTGACGATTCGGAGAGTTAATATGTTCATAGGCGTTGATCATTTCGAACATTCGCTCTTGCTAACCAATACCGAAGAGATTCTTGATATCTTACACAGAGAAAAATGTTCTGGTTTAACCAATAAAAAGATCCAATCAGAATAGCATGAGTTTGATGAGACCAAACAGAACTTCTGGTTATGATAGCCAAAAATTCTTTTTGAGTATTTTTGCTGGTTCAACCAAAATATTTTTCTCAGTGTGCAAAAAGATTGAGGGATTCTCATGCAAAACGCAAATTGCCATAATCAACCGACAAGCCACGGTTGGTTATCAATAGCAAACGACCTTAGCACTTTTATACGGACTCCCCATAGGCGCTGGTACATATTCACATGTATGGTACAACCTACTGATTTTTGGTACTGAATTCCCCCGTACGGTATATACCAACTCGAAAGCCATTCGTCGCGGTTAGCACGTTCCTCGTCACTCGTCGTCGTCGTCGTCACAGTCATCGTTGGGGGTGCGCTCGTTTAGCGGGGACTGCCCTTTTTTCTCCCCGCAATACCGCGTATCGTTGCGGACGGCACTTTTTTTGCCTTTTACTCTTCCCCGGTAGACCTTCGCGCTTCCCTTCTCGAGCGCCTCGTAACGACCTACGCGACCGACTCGATTCGTCTTTCTCGCTCGCACCACGTCATAATTCATATCCTAACTGCCACCTCTCTTCCTTCCCTCCGGCCGCCCGCTCGCCGGGGAGTTCCTCCATCCGTTCTGCCGGCTCCTTATCGCCCCCTGATGTCGCCTCCTCTCTCATAGTAGTCGTGCTCTTCGTCGTTTGTC